GACAAGCTCACTGTGCCTGACGACATGGCTGCAAACTGTATATACCTAAATATCCCCAGCAAAGGACATGTCTTGCTGCACCAAACCCCAGAAGAGTATCCAGAAAGTGCAAAGGTAAAAAAGAACTTCCCTCCCGGCCACTGCATCCGGATGGGCCCCCATGGGGATTAATTCTATGACAGAGGGACAAATGGCATCTACCTCTTCCTCTATACACATCATTAAAGCAGAAAGGACATTTAGGGTGCAAGGAAAGTTTATTTAACTCCATTTTATCCTTCATGTCATTAGTCACGAGTGCATTCACAGTAGTTGAGACAACCATACATGCAATTCAAAGCTTTTCAAATAAGTACTCCAACCACTCAAGTCTGTGCCGAGCTCTGATTAAATGTACCTTTCCATGTCGATACCCATGAGGCCTACAATCAGAGGGTCAGCTGGTCATTATTTTCTGACAAACCTGAGCTGCCCCTTAGCAGCTTCTAAGGCAGAGGAGTAGGAATGACCCGTCTGTGCTCGTTGTCAGAGCTGCAAAAAGGGAACTCCATATCCCAGGTGGTGAGAAGCTAGAGCAGGAAGAAACACAGCACAAGCACACTTGCAAACTCGTGAGCTGGTCCCACCAGGAGTCTGCCTTTGCTGTCCCTGGATCTGGAGTTTTTTCCTAGTCTAAGAAAATCTCCCTTGTCTGTCAAGGCACTGTGTCAGTGTCGTATGTATATTTTTAGTAATCTCGATCCTATCCTGTGAAGCAGATCGAACAGTGCTCAGCTATAGATCCTTCAAGTGCATATCTTCTAGGCACTTCTACTTTTTCACCCCTAAGGGACATTTATATGAAGCACTACAGAAGAGCCTTTACGCCCAGGAAATAGCTCAGTGGTGTAATCTCCTGCCTGGCAAGCTCAAGGTCCCAAATTCAATCTCCAATACCACAAAAAAAAAAAAAAAAAAGGGGTGGGGGACGACCAGGGAAATGGCTCAGTGGAATAAGTGCTTCTCCGGCAAGCACAGGGGCCTGAGTTTAATCTCCAGTTCCGCCAAAAAAAGAAAGAGAAAGGAAGGAAGGAAGGAAGGAAGGAAGGAAGGAAGGAAGAAAGAAAGAAAGAAAGAAAGAAAGAAAGAAAGAAAGAAAGAAGCCTTTAGTAACTATTGACTTCAGCTTTGAAAATATTAGGAATATTACAAACACTTATAAAATGTGCGATACTGTGTTTTTACTTGATTTACCTTCTTAATTTTATCTGCTAACCTTTTAGCAGATTAAAAAGGAAGGGTTGGGAAAATATGTGGATAATTTCTATTTGCCTGGCCAAAAGTGTGAACCAATAGAAAATGTGAAATTCCCGATCTCAGGCTAGGTCTTTTTTTTTTTAATTATTTATTTATTTTTATTTATTACATTTATTTATTGTGTGTGTGTGTGGCCAGCTCAGCCCACCAGGGGATGGGGCTGGCTGGCATGTGGTGCTGGGGGATCGAACCGCAGTCCCTGTGCTTTGCCAACCTTGTTTCAAGTAGGTGCTTTAGGGGCTGGAGAGATGGCTCAGTGGTCTAAAGCACCTACTTGAAACAAGCTTGGCAAAGCACAGGGACCACGGTTCGATCCCCAGCACCACATGCCAGCCAGCCCCGCCCCCTGGTGGGCTGAGCTGGCCACACACACACACACAATAAATAAGTGTAATAAATAAAAATAAATAAATAATCAAGTAGGTGCTTTAGACCACTGAGCCATCTCTCCAGCCCCTCAGGCCAGGTCTTAATAGTGGATCTCACTCTCAAAATGCATCTGGGCTGTTAGAGCGGGACCTGCGGCGCAGACTCGCCTGCCTGCCAGTCAGTACCTGCTTCCTCACTCAATTTGTGTCTATCAACAATATATCAGTGACATAATGATCCCCCATGATTACTGATAACACCTCTGTGGGCAGCTCATGACCGAGGGCTTCTCAGCTGCCAGGAGCTGTGCCAGCCAAGCCACAGGCTTTACCTTGCTTGGCCTTATCACAGCTCTGAGAGAAGTTTTATCACTTCAGCAGGACAGCGGGGTAAACAGGTGCAGAGGGACTGTCACTTAGCTGAAGTCATAGTTGTAAACTGACACCACTGGGTTTGGGGTCCAATTTCAGCTGGTTCCTGCACTCTTAATTAACCACTGGGTGGAATTTTAAGAAGCTTCCCCCGAAAAAGGCATGATTATGCTTTGTTTTGTTTTGTTTTGTTTTGTTTTGTTTTGTTTTGTTTTTTGCAGAACCAGAGATTGAACTCAGACCCTTGCACTTGCCAGGGAGGCGCTTATTCCTCTGAGCCATCTCCCCGGCCCTCATGACTATGTTTTCAAGTGATTTTTTTTTCTAATGTACTTCCTTTGATCACAGAAAAATCTATGGTCTGTTAATTTGAAGTTCTGAAGCACACTTTCTATTAGTGTTGGAAGATGCGGTAAAATTCACACCTATAACTTAAAAGCAGTGGGATCTGAGATAGTCACTTAAGTTGCACTTTGTCTAGGTTTTCCAGTGGTTTTAACACCTTAAAGCCTAATGGAGAGGGCTTTCGATTGTGGAGAAAGAGAAACGTTCAGACTGAACACATGGCCACTGACTTCATTTACCACTTGAGCCAGCAAAGACAGCAGCAGAGTGAAGGTGTTTTGTAGCGTTGACCACATTTCTGACACATCTTCAACTTTGAGGTTAAAGCATCGAGCTAGTGGTTAACCAGTTGCCACCAGCTCTCCGGGGAGTGGTGGGAGGGGGTGGGAGAGAGGTCACGTGTGTGTGTGTGTGTGTGTGTGTGTGTGTGTGTGTGTGTGTCGGGGTTAATTGAGTGAAAAGCTTAGGCGCGCAAATGGAATTAATTTTCTGCCCTTGGGGTTAGCGAACAAGGCAGAAACGTAATCCTCTCCCTCACCCTCTGTTCTCATTGTAGGTTTATGAGAAACTGAAAGACTATCTGCTGATCCCCGTTAGCATGTCTGAACTGGAAAAGGTGGATGGGTTGCTCACCTGTTCCTCAGTTTTTATTAACAAGAAGGGGGACTCGTGAGTGAGAGGCCCTTCCGTGTAGCCGGCAGGATGGCCCGGGCCAGGCTGAAGACTGTCCCCACTCCCTTTGTTTTTCTTGACAATCTACTGTGCCACTGTGCTACTAACTCTTGTTTACAAAAATTGAATTCTAAGTTTAATTGCTTTGTTTTATGCGCCCTCACCCCCGTACCCCTCTCAGTGGTACCTAAGCTGTGGATGTGCTAAGTGAATTGAGCAACCTAGAAAATATAGAACTAATGAGTCATTGAAATGTGATTAATAATAGTGTGGAAACATCATTTTAGTGTTCGCCTTATCTGTGCAAAAATCATTTAGTTGCAGTACGTTCCGATGAATACCTTTTTGATCAGTCAGATAAGCTAACTTTTTTCCTCTGTATCATGAATCATGTTTGGTGCCTGTGAAATTCCTGATCCAATGATTCTCCCCATTCTCTGTTTTCCCTTCTGAACTCTGAAAACCTTTTTTCCAAGTACTTTCTTTTGCCTTTCTATCACAGCCACCTTGACCTTGGGTGAAAGCAACCCAAGTCTTGCATTTTAGACACCTCCTTGCAGATCAACCCAGTCTGCCCGCAGTCTCCTCTCCCTCAAGGCAGACATCTTCTGTCCCCACCAGCCCTCCCTCCCCTGAGGGGACAAAACAGGGGCCTCAGAAGAACTGTGACCAAAGTCAGAGTGGCTGCTTGGGCAGTGTGAGCTACACAGAGGCGCGTCCTCACAGGGTTTGCCTGGGAGATCCAAATTCCAGAAGTCACGCACCACACCCGGGAAGGGAAATGCAGCCCCAGACAGTTGCTAAGGGCTCCAGCTCAAGAAGCATGGCAGCACCCAATGGGTGCAATGTCTTAGAAAGTCTCTAAGTCACATTCCATGGATCTTTACCTCGGCACTATTCATGTGGGAGCTGGAGGGGAAACTCAGTCTTTTCCTTTCAGCTTATTTCTGCTACCCTCTCCCTGACTCCCCCTTACCTGCTCTCACCGTCATTGCTTTCCAAAGAGACATCTAAAAATGATTACTGACCTGGTGAGAGCCGAGGGAGTAGCCCCACGTGGTCACGGAGTGTATTCAAACAATGACGAACATGGTGCCTAAAACAACTTCAGGCATTGGGTGATTCTGCTTGGGAATAATATCCATGCATGCTTACTGTGGAATGCAGTCGAAACTTCTTTCTTCTCTATCCTGTGCATTCCATAACTCTCCACTGACATGGCTGTCTTAAAAACAACAAAGCCACAATGATGGTAGAGATTGTTCTTCTACTTAAGAGTTGAAAGAACCAGCCTAGGGGTCTGGTGCTTTCCAAGGAATGATGACTGATCCAGGTGTATTATCCAGCCTCCTCGTCATCTCCACCTTTCCTGTGTTACCCAGTGGTTTGCGGTTAAAGATTTAAAATCAGGGAGACTAAGAAATATTATTTCAGTTCTCACTCTGACCACCCCCGTGTATGTATTAAAACCACCATTATGGTGGTGAACAAGAGAGAGTTCCCCTTAGTTGTTTTATACCCCCTTAGCAGGCGAAGGGGAGAAGGCACTGGGAAAATGAAGACACCTTTAACCACTATCTTTTTCATTTACTTGATGATTTTATGTCTGCAATTTGAAGAAATACCTTCTCTTTTTCTTCCTTATTATTCAAAATTTATATCACCTGCAAATACTTACCATCATACATCCTATGAATGAACCACATCTTGGTCTCACTATCATATTTTCAAACAGAGAGAATGAATGTTAGCCACGTGCTCAAGTTATTAAAGAAAAGTTGTTCTCAGTAATTAAGATTGCCTCTTTGGGTTAAATCTGGTCCTATGCTGGCAAAAAGCAGAAATCCTCCCTGGGAAGCTCACCAACTCAAAAACAACCACAAGAAAAACAATCCAATCAGCCACTCTAGGCTAACTGGCTTACGATTTTCAATAGCATTCCCTCTGTCATCACTACAATTAAAGAACTGTTCTCTATTATGTTTAGTTAAATACAAATGCATACATTTTTCTCTTTAATGGTCTGTTCTGCCAGAGGCAGTTTTGTGCTTTCCCTTTCCTCTGCTTCTTTCCCTTTCCTTCTCTTTTTTTTTTCATATTTTTTTTATTTTTTTCAAAGTTTTATTGATAAACAGATAGCAATGAGACAGTTTCAAATCAAATCAGAAGTACAGTTTTAACAAATAATACACTGCATATATTCTTCTTAGTTCCTTCTCTTTGTCTTGAGAAATCACATAGATACTCTGTGCCTCCTCTGCGTCTCATTCCGCACTGCTGAGTTACCTACCAGGTGGGCTTCTTTCGAGTCCCCACGTGACACGAAGATGTGAAGACCTAAAATATGTGCAGAAGAACAGCATCAATTTGATGTTCTTATCAGCATAATGCTTTCTTTGAAAAAGAAAGGTACCCATTACATAGATTCCTCTTTCGTCCATTGTGACTTGTAAGGATGGATAAACTAAAAGACAGTGTTTGGGGGCATTATAAAAAGCAAGAAATGATATTCAAGTGAGTAAAAGTTGAGTCAAAAATATTTGAGTATTACTCAGTTTACTAAAAAGACAATGTAGAGCAAATACATTATTTAGCATTATTTCTTTAGCTATGATGGATTGCTATGGAAACCAGTGGGAAAATCTGTCTAATGTGTATTGATTGCTCATGTAAGCTGCTGTAAACAGATTTCTATGGCCATTTCTTCATGTTTAAGGGGGAAAATAGTCTATAGATGAATAATATGACGTATGTAGAGTTGCATGTCAGTCTCCGTAATTATTGAACACGCTGCAAAGCTCAGATGATTTCAACACGGTGTTAGATTTGTGTATTTCACGTTCCTGCCCATCTTGGTCCAGCCAATGTATGGATCCACTCTGTGTGCCAAAACCAGTCATGCCTTTCACGGCCCATTAGTCCAGAGAAGTTCCGCACTGATTTTAGTCTCTTGCTGTCCCGATTCTACATGTATACGAATCACGATGGAATAAAGTGTGAGTTGTACTGTGATCTGTGGTGTGTGTCTCATTTTGTGACTGCATCTGTCATGGGGAAGGAAGTCACCATTTCTTTGCTATTAATCATAATATTTTCTCTCTTGAGCTCTAGGTAATAGAATTAACAATTCTGTACCTACAAACCAGCTGCCATCAAAGCAGCTGGTATTTGAAGTGATGCTTCACACTTTAGTCACTCACAAAATATGCAGATTATCCATACTGGGTCAGGAGAGCT